CGGTTGCTGCGGGGCGCGGCGGTTGCTGCGGGGCGGGGGGAGCCTGCCCGGGGCTGCCCGGCCTCTGGGCAGAGGGAGCCAAAGCGATCCAGGAGCCGGGAGAGAAGCACAGGCGAAGCAACTGGGAGGGCCCTCAAACTCCGCAACCTCGCATTTCCTTCCCCTCGCCCCCAGGGAGGTTCAGGCCAGTGTTAGCACGTTTAGAGTGGGTGGGTTGTTTGAAGAGAAATTTAAAACAGTGAAACCACCACTGCTTTGTAAATAAACTGAATTATTCACGGAGGAATCAGCACGCGATGGCAACCTTGGTTGTAACGGTGGTGTATCCTGGAACAGTAAAAATATTCAGCATCTTCCCATGTGCTTGGGCCAGCGATGTTACTTTCTCCCGCATTAGCTTTGGTCTGTGCAGATCCATCTGAGATGATTCATCATTTTCGGTGGACAAAACCACAGTTCACAACTTAAGTGGCAGTTAAACCATTAGCACCAGGTTTGTTTGTATTTTTCTAAATCCTGTGTTTTCACGCTTCGCCTGAAGGGTCATTTGGGGTTTTCCACTGAAAAGGCAGACCTCAATATTTTTATTTATTAATTTCTATTCCAAAGGCTTCAAGTGTAAGGAAGTGTCAAATTAATGAAATGCAACCTTTCTGTGTAGAGTCAGAAATCAGTGCTGTAGCAAAAATAAGCTTTCCAGCTTTTCCTTTATATATATTCTGGTACTAGTTGTGATTCTTACGTTACTGACAGAAGGAGAACAGTACAAAGCATAGACACAGAATGATAATACCAACCACGTTATAGTGCTTAAACACCTATAGACACTAGAGAATAAAACAGAATACAGAATAAAACAAAACCAAAACCACTACCACCAAAAATCCTAGAAAGTTTCATGGAAAAAAGACCTTTCAGCAACAATAAATAGCAGATTAGACATTAATTTTCTTAAGTGAAACCCCAGGATTTTGATTATGGACATCAAAATCATGTTATTAAACAAAAGTAATATTCCTCTAGTATTATTGTCTGTCCTGGCATTTAAATTTCATGAGGATACAAGACTCAAAAATGTAAAATATCACTGATGAAAAAAGTAAAGGAATAAAATAAATAGGTATAGTGGAATTCAGTGTAAGCAATCTCTAGACAACTTAGTTTTTTGTAGTAATAATGAATTACACAAGAGGGAGCTGTGATCTCATAAATATTTTACACCTTTCCGTGTCAAATATTTTCCATTCAGTATTCACATAAAAACACTTGATGATAGCGGTGCTGTATTTTTTCTCCAAAAAGCTATGGAGGTCATCTTTATGCATTTTGCAGAATGTATTTAAAGCCACTAGTTAATTTGTCAAAAACATTTGTCAAATATTTTAATGCCCTTTAGGTGACCATTTTAACCCAGTTTTGCTTTATTTACAAGTAGATACTGAGGCAGAAAAATTACTTTACCAATAAGAACTAGGCATCTAATTTTGGAACCAGTTGTAGCATCCCATCTCAAATCTATTACACTCTTCCAAAACTGAGTTAGAAAAAGTAAACAGATCTTTGACTACTTTTTCCTCCTCACAAAATTGTCTAAGAATTGACATGCCATGCTTCTGGCATTTTAAATAATTCAGTTTTCAATGGCTATGGGTGAAATCCTGTCCTGAATAAAGTAAGTGGCG